CTTCCCTGGCTGCTGTATCTCCCTTGAACAAAGGGTCAGACGCGCTGCTCCTTCGAATGAGGCTATTCTGCCCCCAGGGCTTTGGTTCCAGCATACCTTCTGCTCCCTAAGTGGCTATGAGCTGGAGGACTGCCTCCCTTCCCCACACGGGGCAGGAGGAGAGTCAGTGAGTCTGATTGTCGGGGACCAGGCAGCCTGAGAGCCTTCCAGTAGTACCCCTCACAGCCAGCAGGTGACGCCCCAGCCTCTGGAGGATGAGAGGAAAAGGTGCTGGGGGGGGAGGTGGGGAGAGGGCTGCAGAAGGAAAGGACTTGTCACAGGAGTCCCAGCAACCACCCGCGAGCCTCACATCTGCCCCCTGGAGATGGGCAGGGCAGGAATTGCCATCCCTGCTTTCACCTCCAAAATAGCTCAGTCTGGGTGTCTCCACTGGTTAAGCGTCCCAACTTCTGCTCAGGTCATGATCTCACGTTGGTGAGTTCAAGCCCGCATCAGGCTCTCTGCTGTCGGCACAGAACCTGTTTTGGGTTCTCTGTCTCCCTCTCTCTCTCTCTGCCCCTCCCCTGCTTGCTCTCTCTCTCTCAAAAATAAGATAAACATTTAAAAAAGAAAAAGAAAAAAAAACAGCTCAGACAGGGAGAGTTCCTTGCCCAAGGTCACGGAGTGAGTCACGGCCCTTGGGCTGCAGTCTGGATAAGCCAAGAGCTAGCCCACCAGCTTCTCTTAAGCAATCCACGTCCAACAGAAAGCCCAGCCCAGAACCCTTCCTCTTCCACGGCCATAACCCTGTTTAGAAACCAAGTTATCACCAACCAAGTTATCACCAAGATCTTTACGAGGCCATGTCTCTGCGCCCCACCTCGCGAGGCTGTGGTCAGGTATGTGAGAGTAGCCCAGAGGGAAGAGGGGCCACCAGGAAGCTAGCGGCAAGCAGGGGTCCAATAAATAGCCGCCCCCGAGATAGGGGCTGTCAGAGGAAGAGGCAGTGATGCGGTGGACGGGGGCTTCCCACACACAGTCCCAGTACCATGACGGACCACTGTCTGAGCCGACCTGTCCCCAATGGGCAGACGGGGACACTGAGGCCCAGGGAGGCAAATGCTCCGGGTCACATGACGGCTAAGGGGGCTAACGTGGGGCGGGACCTGCCATTTCAGATTCCCGGCCTGGGACTTTTGAACAGGGTTACAGTGTTCTCAGGAGGGGGGAGCAGGGTGTCCCATCAGGGCTGTCTCGGGGCTCTGGTTGGAGGGGTCCACCTAAAGGTGACGGTAACGGGAGAGCTGAGGCTTTTTTGCATGAGCCAGAGGAGGAAGAGGAAGCAGATATTTGTATAAGCAAAACTCCGGGTTTAGGAGAGAGACACACGCAGCGCACTATCTTCCCGGGCTGGCTTGCCTGGAGCGGAAAGGAAAACTTCCAGAGAGACCACGGACCTGCTGTGTGGCCTCAGGGACGGTGACTTCACTTCTCTGAGCTCCAACTGGTTCATCTGCAAGGTGGGGGTAACAAGACCCTACCTCACCCTCCCTGAAATAATACCTGCAAATGCCTTAGCCTGCTGCCTGGCACTTAGTGAATGCTCACTAAATAGTGGTACCATTGTCATACTGCCATGGCATTATTGCTCCAGCACCAGGTGAGAGGTCGAACCCTGCATTCTCAGAGACAGGGTGCAGGGACACTGAGCCGACGGTCAGAAGACCTGGTTCTATCTCCATCCAGTAGACCCTGACCTGCCATGGGAACTTGGCGAAAATCCCTTCTTTCTTTAAAGGCTTCTAGGCCTCAGTTAACCTATCTGTAAAATGAGTAGGTTGGCTTTCCATGGTCGGCGTGCTATGAAATCTATGTTGTCCTTACTGTCCTGCTCTAGGTGAGGGGGTGGCTTTTGGAGGGTCAGCAGGGCTGGGCTGAGGACCCCTTGGGCACTCTGGTTGGGCAGCGAGAAAGGCCAGTGCGGTCAGGAGACCCAGTCTCTGTGGCCCTGTGCCTGTGTGACCTTGCCTAGATACCTGGACCTCTCTGTACTTCCTCATCCAGCAAATGGGGCCAGTGTGCTTTGCCCCACCCCTTCCCAACGCCCAGGGTTCAGGAAAGAGCAGGCCCAGGGTAAGGTGGAAAGAGAGGTCTACCCTCCGGAGGCGTCGGTGGAACAGAAGGCCCACCCCAACCTCCGCCCTGGGAGAGGACAACGCTGACGGATCATGAGGCAGTTGGGATGACTCCCCCAGGCCTCAGGGCTCCCTGGTCTTGATCAGGGAAACAGTCCCCACTCTGCCTGCGAGGCCGTCATCTCTCAGCCACCACCCAAGTCCTGGGCACCGTCTTCATCATTTCTGGACACTGCCTGGCTTCCCTGCTCCTCGTACCAAGATGTAACTTCACCTTTATCTGTGATTATTTGATTCATACATGCTTCTTCCCCGTCTCCCCCGCACCAGACTGTGAAAACCCCAAGGGCAGGGCCTTAATACCAGAATACATATTTGTCAAATGAATGAACTCACGAACAAATGAATTCCTAAACCTATTCCCGATCTCTGTGCTTTCCATGCAGGTCTGATTTAGCACATTGTTGGAATTAGAGGGCACCCAGAAAGCACCGACCTTCCTGCCCTCCCCCAACCCGCAGCACCCGTGACCAGAGACCTCCAGCAGTCACTTGCATACCTCCTGTGATAATGAGCTCACTCTCTATTTGCTGACAGCCCATTTCATAGTGGACGGTCCTTTAGGGAGCACTCTATTATGGATGAGTGGAAACCTGTGTCTGTCTATGCCTACAACTTTCTCCCTCAGGTCCCAGGTCTGCCCTGCACCCCTCCCCAAACTCAGAACCTCAAGTCCCATTCTGGATTTTCTCTTCCTGTCCGAGCAATCCTGCTTTCGTCAACTCAGAGAGGAGAACCCAGCCCTCTTGGGCTTTTTCTCCCTTCTCTGTATACTTGCCAATTTCTTAGTGACCCTTCGAAAGAGAAATTCACCAACACGCCCCCTCCCTGACCTGGGAAAGGGAGCCTTTCCTGCAGAGGCGACCCTGTACTTATCCATATCACTGACAACCCCGGGTGGCCTCCTTTCCCCATGCTGTTGCATAAACTTGGGCTTGGCCCCTTTCCTTTCTGCGCACCCCTGCTGCCACCTGCACATTGGAAAGAGCAACTCTGATCAGGAAGGCGGGCCCTGGGCTTACCGTCCCCAATTCTGTTATAGTGCCCGATGGAACCCCAGATGTACCAGATTCTGACCAGCTCCGGCTTCGGGTGGGTCACCTGTACAGTCACACAGGCCCCAGTGTTTAGAAGGGCCCCGTGCGCGGTTGAATTCTCTCCTGTCTTGAAATTCTTAATGATTTTTAACACGGGACCTCACATTGTCATTTTGCACTGGACCCTATAAATTATATCCAGATCCTGACACATCTGTCTGTCTAGCACTGAAATGATGCCTACCTGCCCTGGCTAACTAATGTGGGGACCCAAGGGAGGGACAGGTGGAACAGATAAGACCCTGATTCTGTCCACCTTTTGGGTGCCACAGGTCTCTGCACAGTTAGGGCGTCCCCAGGAAATGCTGGAGAGTCAAACATCATCGGGGGCTTCTGTGCAGCGCACTGGCACTGGACCCCACACCCCATGGAAAGGGAACCCATCTCCCCAAGACTTCCTGACCCAGGGCCTTGTCCTCCAAATCTCTCAGCCTCACTATCCATTCCCAGCTCCTCAGCTCTTTTACACACACACCCTTGGGTAGCTGTGAAATGTTTACCAGTCTTTAATATGGGAGGGAAATGCATGATGCATTTAAAATACCAATGGGGCCCCAGCTATAATAAATGAACCAAAGCTTTTTGATCTTGAATCAACTGGAGAATTTTGCATACAAACTGAGTGTTAGACTCAAGAATTTGTGTTAATCTCTTTAGATGTGTTTAATGGTATATTATGTAAGAAAGTGTCGATGTGTTTTAGAGATGCATGCGGAAGTATGCAGGGGTAAAATGACACGGTGTTTGAAATTTGTCTTAAGATACTTTGGCAAAAAGAGGGGAGTTGATGAAATAACTGTTACAAACTCTTGATAATGGTGGAAGCTGAGTGATGGGTTTATAGTGGTTCATTACAAATTCCACTTCTGTGTATGTTTGGAACTTCTTATTAAAATGAAGGCTGGGGGCGGGGGTGGAGGGAAGCGTTTGTTAAGAGAATTGTGAAAAATTCCCTAGAATGTCATCTTAAAGATGCCCCTCTTTAAGAACTTTCTCAAGAGAGCCAACTCGGGAAAACTCTCCAATTGTATGCAGACTCCTGTATGTGCATATGTGCATTTTCCCCGGAAAAACCTCCACAGCTTTTTTCGGAGGCTCAGAGGGGTCGTGACCTCTTCCCCCCACCCCCCGCCCCCCGCCCCCAAGATTAAGGATCTGCTACCTTACAGAGGGAACCCTGTTTGAAGTCAGGTTGCCTCCTCACCTCCAGCTGATCACCGCGGAGTGCGCCACAGGCCCGATGTGGCTGTGTGACGCTGGCCAGGCCGGCCCCTCGGATCGCTTTGCTCCACCTGTAAACTGGGGTCACGGGTGGTCCACGCGGCCCAGGGAGGAAGGAGTGTCTGGGCCGCTAGGCCGTCAGCCTCGCAGGAGACCCACACCTAGCGATGCCTCGACGCTCGCCCGGGATGCGTCCTCCGCGCCCCCACCCCCTCCAGGCCCCGGCCCGTCCACCTCCCGCTTGGGGCGGCAATTTGTCTCCTTTTGAACCCCCCGCCCCCGACGGGTTTCCCCCTTTGATTCGCGGCGCGGAGGCTCCCCCACCCCACCCCCGCTTTGAAATGCAAACCCGCCCGGGCTGGGGCCGCGGGCGCCCGGGGCTATAAAAGGCCTGGGTGGGGCGGGCGCGGCGGCAGGGCCCGCGAGTTCAGGTGAGCAGTCTGCTCGTCGGGGCGGCCGGCAGCGGCGGCTCCAGGGCCCAGCATGCGCGCGGGGCCCCGCGGCCACCATGTACGTGGGCTATGTGCTGGACAAGGATTCTCCAGTCTACCCCGGCCCCGCCAGGCCCGCGAGCCTCGGCCTGGGCCCGCAAGCCTACGGCCCCCCGCCCGCACCCCCTGGGCCCTCCCAGTACCCCGACTTCACCGGCTACTCTCACGTGGAGCCGGCCCCCGCACCCTCTGCGGCCTGGAGCGCGCCCTTCTCTGCGCCCAAGGACGATTGGGCCTCCGCCTATGGCCCCGGCCCTGCGGCCCCCGCCGCCAGCCCAGCCCCGCTGGCATTCGGGCCCCCTCCGGACTTTAGCCCGGTGCCCGCGCCCCCCGGGCCTGGCCCAAGCCTCCTGGCGCAGCCCCTCGGAGGCCCGGGCGCACCGTCCTCGCCCGGAGTGCAAAGGCGGACGCCCTACGAGTGGATGCGGCGCAGCGTGGCGGCTGGAGGCGGCGGTGGCAGCGGTAAGGACCCCTCCCTCGCCCTGCGCCTTTGGAAGGATCCCCTGGGCACCGGCAGGTGCCAGAGCGAGACCCAGTCGCCCCCTGACTGACCCCTGTCCCGGCCCCGCAGTGGGCTCCCCGTTTGGGCCTCCCTGAACCTCTCTGGTCCTGGGGTGCTGTTGTCTCAGCTCCCCCTTCAGAATCCCAGACCACCTGAGCCTTAGTGGGCACGCCCTGTGCTTCTGTATAGATAGGGAAACTGAGACCCTTGAAAGTGACGAACTGCGCCTTGTGGTTGCCTGGCGAGACTGGAACGCAGGCCCCCAGATGTAAAGCCAGGGCTCTTTTAGCAACCCTGGTCCCCGCGGTCCTCCGTTTCCTCCAGCCCTACGCCAGCCCGGAGAGGAAGCTGCAAACCGTCCCCAGAAGGGGCGATGCGCTGCCCTTGTGAACATAGGCACCGCTTTCCTTTCCACGTCTCAGTATCCCCTTCAGTACAGGGAAGACATTGGTGGGTCATATCCTTTGGACCGAAAAAGAGCCTCCTTCGGTTAAATCGGTGTGGGGGTCCCTACCTTACCATCCCAGGGTCCTCCATGAACTCTTGACCCCGGGGGAGGGGAAAGCAGGAGCAGTTGGGAAGGTGGCTACTGTTTGGCTCCTGAGACAGTGAACCTCCCGCCCCCAGGCAGGCCTCTCTGATCCACCCTCTTCAAAGGCAGAGGAGGGGGCAAGACAAAGGGCCGGCTTTAATGAGGGGCGGCCTGACCTCCTTTATAGGTCCCCCCTTTGTCATGTAACAGGCTGCCCCTTGGCTCAGTAGTGACTCCTGCCGGCCGGAAAGTGAACACGCTACCCCATTGTCCCGACTGTGTCTGGCCTGTCCTGACAAAGGCCACCTGGCCTTAGGGGCGGGAAGTTGGCCTGCCCACCCTTTGATGTCCAGGCCCTCCCCCCTACCTCCAGCTGGGAGGAAGCCTGGGACTTCCCCCACCTCCTCTCTCTCTTCACCCCCATGTCCCCACACACACTCCTCACTGGCCGAGGCAGATGTTGGGCAGGTCTGGCTATAATTGTAGTGCCTTCTCGGGAGGCCCAGGGACACAGAAGCCCCGATCAGCCTCCAGAGGCCTCCGAGGACTGGGGGGGGGGGGGGGAGTGCCCCAGCTGTGCCACTCATCTGTGTGACCTTGGCTAAATACTGACAACTAGCCTTTATGGAACGCTTGCTAACGGACCAGGCACAGCCTCTGACCTTGCCTGCATGAACCCACTTAATTCTTAACAACATTATTGTAGGCACTATTATCAACCCATTTTTAAGAAGAAAAATCTATGACCCAGAGAGGTTAAATCCTTACGCAAGGCCATTTAACCAGGAAATGGTGGGGCTAGGATCTGACGCCTGGCCCACTGACCACCCGGCCTGTGTTCTAATCCTCTAAACAACACCTTCTCTCGTTAGTCATCTTTCCTGGGTCTCAGTTTTACCATCTGTGACCTGATAGGGAAGGTCTCGTACCTTTGGTTTGGTTATAGAGGGGCCCTTTCAGAAAAATCTGGTGGCAAATACAAATCTCCCTAGACAAAAAGTGCCGCCTGATTCAGTTGACAATTTGAGGGATTCTAGAAGCTCCAAAAGGATTTCTCCATTGACCCTGGTTGAGAACCCAGCATTAGGTTAAATGAGAGGAGGTGTCTGGGGCCACTGACCCTCCCCCCCATTCTGTGTCTGTTCCCTGGAGAAAGAAGCCGGCTTTTCCTGCTCCTCTGTTCCAGTTGCTGCTTCCTCCTGATCAGGCAGCTTTGGAGATGGGTGGCGAGGCGGTGGGGGGCGGGGAGAGGGGCAGGGGGTCCAGATGGAAGAGGATTTCTGCAGGAGAGAGGACTTGGAGAGGGTGCACCAGTGGGGGTCAGAGGACAGGTGCGAGACCTGGGGGCACTTTCAGGCTGTGTGATTTGGGGCAAGTCACCTTTCCTCTCTGGGCAGAGTTGCTGCGTGTGAACCCCGTCCCAGCCTCTGGTCCCAAAGGTCATCTGAAAACTGTTGTCCCCCAGGCAGACAGGGGGCCTTGCTGTAAGTCTGCCCAAAGCCAAGACACCGTTCCCGTGTTTACTCCCAGGAAGTAGGAAGAGAGGGCCAGGGGAGGTTTGCAGGCTCCAGAGGAAAGTGGCCACTCCAGAAGGCAGGTGAGACTTATTCTGCTGAGGGCACAGCATCTCCAGCTTTCTAGAAGCTAGAAGCTGTTGCCTGTCTGCCCAGGAGCATCTGACCAGCACTACTGAGATTAAGATGGGGCAGGATTGGAATGGGGTTCCAGATCCTCCCTGAGAGAGAGGCCAAGCCCCACCCCCACCCCCACCGTGGCCTCAGTTTCTCCTTCTGAGCCATGAAGACCCCGGGGCTCCGGGGTGTTGCCTGTGTGATGCTGCTGTCTAGGATAGCAAAGGGAAGATCGGTACCTGCCAGTACACCCCTCCTCAAACGTTGCCAGCCCTTCCCCTCCTCTCCTGCACCTGGGCTTCTAGCACTCCAGAACATCCGAACTGGACAGCTGGAGACCAGACAGGGTTGGAGACCCAAAGCCCAGGGTCCTTAAGAAATTTACTAGCTTCACACAAGTGGAGGCTGCACTGGAATAGATGTCGGAGGAATCTGTTAAAATTTCCCCAATGGTTTCCGGTTGGGAAATCTATCCCCCCTGAAGTCTACAAGGCTGTAGAGCATTGGCCCCTGGCCCCTGCCTGCCTCCCCCACCTCGTCCCAGGTACTTACTCTGTCCTTGGCCACCAAGCCCTAGACGCTCCAGCCTTCTTTTAGTTTCTCAGATGTGCCGTGTCCCGCCACCGGTCCTGTGCATAGGCTGTTCCCTCTTCCTGGAGACTCCTTTGCCCTACCTCTTTGCAGGCCTAGCTCCTTCTCACCCTTCAGGTCTTAGCTTAATGCTCAGTCCTCAGAGAGGTCCTCCCTGATGTCCCAAGGAAGGCTCCCCCATACACGCTGGTCATCTTCGCCATGTTTCATTCAGAGCGCTAACCCCCCGTGTGTGTGCGTGTGGTCCGTTTCCCCACCTGCCACAGTAAACGCCCCGTGAGGTCCAGAGCCACCTCCATTTGAGCCATCCCTACATTCCAGATACCATCCCAGTGCATGGCGTTTAGTAGGGGCGCAGTACGTTTTGTTGAATAGGAGGAACAGTAGTAAGAGAGCTCTGAGCGAAGAGGGACACGTGAGATCTTGGCGTCGACGCGTTCCTGACGGCCCCAGCCCCGGAGATGGGACTGCGACGAGCTGGCCAAGCTCGTGCCTGTGGTGGAAGCCTGGTCGCCGCCCTCTCCCTCTTGGGACGGTACTCCAGCCTCAGCGAGGAGTTGGCTGAGCTGAGGCTGCGACTGCCACCTCAGCCTGGTCCCAGGGAGGGACGGTGAGAGCTGGAAAGATGAGGGAGAGGCTGTTGGGCTCCATTCCGTAATCAACACGTTAACCAGTTCAGAGCGATTGCTGTCACTTGACCGAGGCCAGGATAGGAAAGGACTACAAGCGTTCTAGTCTGTGGTCTTCCCCGTTAGCACATACAAATACCAGCCTTGTCATTAAGACGGTTATACGTCATCCTCTGTCAAAGCCTCAGCATCTGTTCCTCGTGAATAAATAGTACTTCCCAGGTTGGTGGCCTACGGGGTGGCTGATGTCCCACACAGCCAGGGAGATGCTCACGGTGATCATGAGTCTGTGGCAGCAGGGTTTAGGTCTTAGTCCAGCCCCTTCAGGTTTCAGATGGAGAAACTGAGGCCCAACGAGGGGATGAACCCTCTTCTCCCCACCACGTTCCAAATCCTCTTTCTTGGCCCATTGCCACAGCCACCAGCGTGGCCTCTCACCTTCCGCCTCTCTCTGACACCCCAGCTGTCTTTGCAACCATTCATTACCAGATTTACCTTTGCGAGGCACATCTCCTGATCAAGAGCATTCCACGGCTCCCCACTGCCATTGGACTTGCCGTTTTGTTATACGCCATTTTGTTGCTGTCAAATCCAGCCCTATTTCTGTGGCATTCAGTGTCCTCTTGAGAGGGCTATTGAAGCCACTCTCTCACTGGTTTGTCTAGATACAGAAATGCCTACTGGGGGGTGGCTTGCAGCTGGGCTTCAGAGCCTCAGGCCTGGGACTGCACTTCTGTTAGAAGCTGCATGGCCTCAGGCAAGTTACCTTGGATCACTTCTCTGAACCTCAGTTTCTTCCACTATAACATTAGGATAATAACAGGATTGTACCTTGAAGCAATGGTGCCCATCAAGCCCAGCCCCTGTGCTTGGCATTCAGTAGGTGCTTAGTATATCAGTGCCTATGACCGCCTCTGCCTGTTCTTAGCAGGTGCCCGGAAACACACATCTCACATTCCCTGCCTCTCCAGTCTGGCTCCTTCAACCTAAATTACCCACCCTTCCCTCCTTCATCTTCACCAGTTCAAATGCCGTGACTTCACTGCCACTGCCACCTCCTCTAGAAAGTCCTCTTTGGTTTCCTCCCCTCCAAGCACTACATCACCCTTGTTTCAACAGCATTTACCACTATCTTGTTTACTCCTTCCATCTCCCCCAAGGACCGGTCAGGGTCAGCCCCATCCTTTCACCATGCCTGCCCATGGCCGGAGCTCATGATGAAGCTGATAATCCCCACATTGGTTGCATCCCCACCTAATGTGCCAGGCAGTGTGCCAAGAACCTTGCATGGGTTTTCTCACTTAAGCTTCGTAACAACCCTAAGAGGTGTGAGGATCTATTATTAGCCTCATTTTACAGATAGAGTTAATGGGGCTCAGAGAGGGTAAGGAACCTGCTGAAGCTCTACAGCCTAAGGAGCATCTATCAAATAAAGCAACATGCTCAGCAGCCCCAGACCCCTTCTCGTGTGCGTCCCAGCCCAGGTGGGGAAAGGAGGCTGGTCAGGGAGGAGCTGGAAGACGCTGATGGGGGAGGGTGGGCACAGCAGGGCCAGGCTGTTTAAAATTGGCTCTCTA